GAGAGAGAGAGAGATCGAACGAGCGATTAAATACAAAAGACGGTTAAAGGAAGTTTGAAGTTTATCGGATCGGTTCTAATCAACGTTACAGTTCCTGCTGTTTGACGATCCCTCGAGTCTGCAGAGATGTATCGTGCTCGCTTCGTTTCAGGCGCAATATCAGTCTTTTATTTATCAACGGAGGGGAAGGGGGAGAAAAGAGAAAAGGAGAGAGAGAGAGAGAAAAAAGATGAAAAAGAAAAGAAGAGAAGAGAAAAGAAAAATAGAGGGGGAGGAGAGGAAAAAACTCGAGGATGCTTCTCGGATTACCGCGGTTGCACTTTTAATCTCCGTTATTTCATATCTTCCCGTATTTATCATCGGTTTAAACGATACCGAGTAAACTAAGGATTTCCCGTGGGAGAAAAGCTGGATTCCGCGAGGCGAAGTGGAATTTGTTGGCCAGCGAAATCATTTAGAAACCACCAGAAATATATATATATATATATACACGACGTACGTCCCTCTCGTATACAATTGCCAAGCTACGCCTCCAATGTGTGTCAGCCGCGTACAAGCGCACGATTCGAGGGGCTAAAAAATTCCCCAAGACTGGAGGGAACCTGGATGAGATTCGAGCTATCTTTTTTTCATCCCCGGATAAAAAGCGGATAAGAGCGACGTTAACAAAGACGAATTATCGCGAGCGGAGGGGATACGATCTCGCATAATACGTAATCGGTGGTGGAAGCGAGGCGCAACAAACCGGGTATTCGATTACCGCGTCCTCGTCAAACGTCGAAAGTCTCATCACCATGCTAATTAGCTATCCGACTAATGGGAAATATAAGTCAGAGGTCGTGTCACGCTTATCTCCTTCCTACCAAAGGAGGAGGATGCGCGACACCCGGGGCTATCAAGATAGGTCGGCCGTGAAAGGAACAAGATACACCCGGGGAAGAAGATGAACAGCTTCCGATTCCGCTCGAGAGGAGATTAGACGTTGGCCAACTTCATTCTCCGTCCGTGTGGAGAAGTTGGCCGAATTAATTGGGAGATAAAGCGGGCGGGAGAAAAAATGAGGAATGGCGAAGAGAGACCGTTGATAGTTGAGATCTGTCGGTCGGTCGGTCGTGTTGTTCTCCTCGTTACGTTGGGGAGAGAAAAGTTTTTTTGGGGAGAGGGGATGGAAGACTTTCGAAAAGTTGAAGCGAGAATAGGGGGAGGGGAGAGGGAATGAACTCTGCTGGCTCCAGGTAGCCAATATTTGGTAGCGCGGTTTAGCTCGAGAGTTAAGGGAAGGTAAATAGCACGATTAATCGAGAGGCAAAGAAGAGGGTAGGGGGGAGAAGAAGCTCTGGTGGCAATTCTGGTGTTAGCTGGAACGGCAAAGAACACCCTTAGGATTTAGCTCTTATATATAGCTCAACACGGGTTAATCGGGTTCACTCGGATCTCCTACCTACGAATTCCGCCTCGGCCTGAGTTCGAGCCTGAAGATCGCTCGCGCTCTCTACCCCCTCAAAGTCTTCACAGCCGAGTCTCATCTAGAATGGAGAGCAGCGTGTGGTTGGCCGTTTATATATGTACGGAAGGTTTTAAGTGACTTTTATCCAGTTGGGCGATGTGCAAATTGGAATATGCGATCGAATACGCGATTTGATCCTCGCCTCGGCCGGTGTTACTCACCGTTGCTCAGCTCCTCGTAGACAGGATTGTAGAGATCCTGTGACGTGTACGGATCAGGACCCGGGCTGCTGCACACGAACACGCCTCTTCCGGTGTCTTTGACGTCCAACATCTGTCGTAACAATGAAAAATTAGGTTAGAAACGTAGCCCGTTTCGTGGTTGCTTCGAGTTTAAGGCTAACCGCGGTGCGCATACCGCGAAAAAACCGCGACACGAACTCGATTGGAGAATTTGACGGATGTGTTTTCAAATTTTTATAATATATAAATAAAATGGAGGGGGAAAAATAAATAAATAAATCTAGTATTATCGTCCGCTACTAGCCGAAGGAATTATTGACAATTGAACTTACGACAAATTTCCAAGGTATTTAGCCGAAGAATCTTTGACGATCGTTAAGCGACGAATGCGAATTAAAATTGCGCAGTAATTTCGAGGCGGAACGAAAGTTGGAGAAGAGAGAAAGAGAGAGAGAGAGAGAGAGAGAGAGTGAATTCTGGCGCGCTTTCATCGCGTTCCCGGCCAACGATTAACTCGTTCCTGCCCTTAAAGACCCTCGAGATTCTCGGCGGGAGAAGGTGTACCTTCGGGCGAGCCCCGATCGCGGAAACGCTGAGTCGGTGCGAACCACGGTGCGCGGGAGGAAACGAGGGAGTCGTAAGTTAATCCTCGAATCGTGGAAATCCTGGCTCAAGTAATAAGGAACCAGATCCTGACACCAGATTTATCGAAGGTTAATTTTTAATTTTTCCCGACTATATCCCGTTGAAACGTGGATCGCCCATCGCGTTTCAAAATCAACGGAACGAACTCGAAAAGGTTTCAAAGGTTTTTCGAATTAAATCCCGGCCGGATCGGCCGCCGACAGAATGGGATTAAAAATTCAACGAGATGATTGATATGATACAGCGCGATTTAATCCGTGCTCCTGGTTAACAGAGATACGAAGCGATCCTAATGCAGAGATCTCGTGACAGACAGCTTTCAGAGCTATTTTTTTTCTTTCTTTTTTTTTTTTTTTTTTTTGTCACCGATGAATTCGCCTAATGAGTCGTCGCTTCGCGTTAACCGAGAGCTGAATGACGTCGAGCGGGATCGGGGAAACGCGACTTTTCTAAATGAAATTTTTTCTCTCGCAAAAACTCGACCTTCCCTGCCGCCGCTTTTCACAGAAAGAAATATACGAGAACGATCCGGTACGAACGAGTGGCTCGAGGGGGTTCGAATCGCAACTTTGTAATAACGATCGCGTGAAAGGGGACAGTGAAGGTTCGAGCATCTTTCTAATAAAAATTTGACTCGAAGCTCTGGTACTGTATCCATACGTGCGATACGCAACGGGCCAATTTCGCAATCTCCAAAGCTTTCGAAGCTCGTACGTATCGCGTGCAAGATTGGAAATTAGCGGTTTGACAGCGGTTGGTTGCCCGTTATCCCGAAAATTGGCCGGCAATTTCGCCAGAAGAAAATGGAAGGCGTGGAACTGCGTCGTTCCTGCAATCGGTCGCTCGTTCTCGTGACCCCGAATCGGCGAAATCGAGTTACCCCCCCCGGTAATCTAGGGGAATCACGAGGGAGGCAAGGCAAACGAAACCGTTGGAGCTTCTCCATCCCTCGGACTGAAGTCCCGCGGGCGGCCCTATCAGCCCACAAAGGAGGAAAGGATCGCTCTATTACTTTTGCTTCGTTTTCGCCGCACTCGAGGCTTCCCTTCGACTTCCCCTCTGCTTGTCTACTCGCATCTCGTCTAATCACGCGTCCCACCCTTCCTCTTCTTCCCACTTTCTTTCTTTCTTTCCTTCCTTCCTTCTTTCGATTCCTCCTCCCAACGCTCGATAACCCGATTATTCGCCCCCTTTTTTTCGCCAGAAACCTTTCTTTCGCCGGCTCGAAGATAACAGGGGTAGATCGGAAGCAATAGAACATCCTCCCGAAATTCGTCTCTCCATTTCCTTTCGTTTTAAATTCATTCCTCTCCCTGCCTTTCATTAAACAAGTCACGGAGGGGGAGGTGCGAAGAATCGGCTCGCGAATCTCGGCGGGGATCGCGTTTAACACGGGGAGGGCGCGATCGAGATGCAGCCGGATGATAGACGAGCAAACGCCTCGAGCTCTTTGCTCTGAATACGGATTCCGATATTATCGCCGTCGAAAGAGGATCACTCGATTACCGGCGTCTCGTTTAGAACGACGGTCCAAGGTAATTGTCGCCCTTAGCGAGTCACGGCTACCCTCCTTCCAATCGTGCCCTCCAGGCTTCTTTCTAAATAGCAGAGAGCATCGTCCATTTCCCTCCTCCCTCGAATCCAGCGGAATTTCGCGTATATTATCTCTGCCGTTCTCCAAACTCGCCAATCGCTCGCGAGGCAAATTTCGAATCGGGAACGGCGAAACAATGGAACTACGAAAAGAGAAAGGAGACAAGCCTGATCGACAGCATTGAGGGAAGGGAATAGTAGAACCTCTGATAGTTTATTATTATTATTATTATTTCGAAAGAAGGATTCCGGATGTTTCGATAACGACGAAGAATAAATTTCTCTTCCAGCTCGATTCATTCGTAACGCGAACAAGGAATCTTCTTCTTCTCCTCGAAAAGAAGAAGACAGAGAAAGAGAGAGAGAGAGAGAGAGAGAGAGAGGGAGAGGAAATAAAAGGGGGAACAATTACGGAGGAGATGGGACGCGATAGATAAAGAGCGAAAGCGGGAAATCTAGATGAAACCGCGGAGGCGGAAAAGAAAGGAGGGAGAAGGAGGAAGGGAGATTGAGATAGAGGCTTAAGCCCATCGTATCCAACAGCAGGAAGCAATATGTCCGTGCCGTAATAGCGTGGAGCACGGAGGTTAATGGGTTGTCCCTAACGCGCCTAACCTGCCCCACGTTCCCCCCCCTCCCCCCTCCCCCCCGCGCAACGTGTGTCCGCTCGCCTCATCCACCTAGCCGTCACATTGTGCCCCGATAACGCGCCCCTCTAATCGACTAATTTACCGCCTCTCTTCTAATTACCGGACGTGCTCGAAGAATACGACGCGTATCGCTACGACGCCCGCTAATGCTAATTCCCCCCTCCCCCTCCTACTTCCATTCCATCCGATAAACGTAACGAATCCGATAACTCAGATGGCCACGCGTCCATTAATTTTGATCATCCGCTTTAATCATCCGGACGTCCGGACATCGAACAGGCCGAGCATTATCGATCATCCAACGCGACTTGGAATATAATCACGAATCTTCGGTATATATACGTACGATTGAATAGCGTGAATCCCAAATACAAGCGTGTGTGTGTGTGTGTATTCTCGAACGAGAATCGAGAATATCCTGCTGGCCGGATAGAAGTTGGGTTACGTTGTAGTTGGCGATGTCATGGTCACGGCACGTTACCGTAACCTGCTAATTGTTAGTTACGTTGACAATTGCATTAGCTTCCTAAGTCCGGATCCCTCCTTTGCCCGCCGGCCATCGTTACATCGGTATTGCCGGTGCTGGCGCGGTTTCGTGGCCTAACGACGTGCCAGGATATGGATTAGAGCGGCGTAATTGAGCCACACAACAGGTGGGACAGCGAATCGAGGAGGCAACAGCTTCAAGATTGGATATTTATTGGTTTATCCGGCGAAAGAACATTCGCTCGAGACGAGGGCGAACGATCGATTCTCTCTCAGCTTAGAGCTCAGAGAGTTAGAGTCTGGTTAGAGCGCGGCGACTGTTCGAACGAAACGAGAGGCCCGGTTTTTTCTTTTTTTTTTTTTTTGTCGGACGGTATCGCGCTCGACGGCTCGGAAACGCACAGCCGTGGCCCCGTTGCTTAACGACGTGTCACGACGACATCGATAGAGAGGCCTGGTAATCGAGACGACAACAGGTGGACGTTCAATCGTTCGATTTCGAACGGAGTATTTTATTATTCGACGACGAATTCAAAACCCCGACCCCGTGAAACGGGAGGAAAATCTCCGAGGATTGGATCTCCGGATCCGATGGATCGAGCTGCAATTTTTATGACGTTTTTCGGACCCTGTTTACCGAATTAGAGACGGGGCACGAGGAGGGAAGAAGAAACGGACTTGTTCGAGCAATTAAATTACGTTTGAGGGAGAGATCGTGCGGTACGGGCTCCATTTGCGAAATTACAGAGCTTCGAGATTGCGCGATCGGATGGAGAGGTGACGCGGCACAACTGCTAACTCGTCAATCTTTCCCTTGATTTCTCTTCGTCTTTTCTTTTTTTTTTTCTTTTTCTATTGTTCTTCCTTTCTCTCATTCACTCACTCTCTTCTCTCTCTCTCTCTCTCTCGCTCCTTCGTTTACGCGCGGGAAATCCTTTCACCTCTGTATCGTACTTCCTTAAAAAAAAAAAAAAAAAAAGAAAAGAAAGAAAGAAAAAAAAAAGGAAAACCGTACGTACATTTTTCATTCCCCTTTAAGAAAAAGTTTGAACACAGAAGTGGTTATTCCGTGTCCACGTGTATTTGTGTCGGGAGACGATAGGTCCGCGTTGAAAATATTATCTCTTTTTCATCAAACTTTCTCGTTCTTTGCTCGTCGCGTTTTTAAGTATTCCTCGCGTTGCAAAAATTTTTTTCATTCCGAGAAAGAATCTCTCAGCGATCCCTCGATCTCGATCTCTACTTTCTCTCGCGGTTACGCTCCACGTATTCTCTCTCGCTTTACTCCCGATCGAGATAACCGCGATTGTTTCACGAGGGATGCGAGGGGATGGGATGGGATTGTGGACCGGGTCAATAACCACTCCTCGTCAAATTTTTCAGTAAAGTAATTTTATTTTCTCAAACTCTCCTTCTCTTCCTTACTCCTCGGTACTCCAATATACACAGGACTTTGTCGGATCTCTTTCTCTCTCTCTCTTCTCTCTCTTCCTTCTCTCCCTCTCTCACTCTCTCTCTCTCTCTCGCGTACTTTCTCGCTGTTATTTCTCTTCCTTTAATCCTACTTTCTCGAATACCCGTCCGGAATTTATTTACAAGACATTTTTAGTTACCGTACACCGGCTACGGTAATGGAATAATACGTAAACGACAATAATAATAAATAATAATAATAATAATAATAATAATAATAATAATAATAATAATAATAATTAATCTGGGGGGGGCGACTATAACAACTAATAATCGCGATGATCTTTCGTCGAAACCTTTTTTTTTCTTTTCTTCTTTTTTTTTTTTTCCTTTTTTTCGTACAAACGAGAAACATAAATGTCCGATATAAATGTCTTCCGATGTGAAATGTCACTCGGGGGGAAGGGGGGGGGGGAAGTTGCACAGCTACTAGCTCCTCCTTATGGGCATTTTTACCGTATTTTTAATACTTTATATTAATCACTATGCGACTCTCTCTCTCTCTCTCTCTCTCTCTCTCTTTA